GCCGTGACAGTGAAAGGCCCGCACACCGCGATGAAGAGTGGCCCCCGCTCGCCACAACTAGAGAAAGCCCTCGCACAGAAACGAAGACCCAACACAGCCAAAATAAATTAATTAATTAATAAACTCCTACCCCCAACATCAAAAAAAAAAAAAAGGTGGTGCCAGAATGCCTTTCCCATTTCCTAAAACTAATAGTGCTTTATTAGATCCTTAGTAAAAACTTCATCAATTTCCTACTTTGTCAACCATTTTTCATAAGTCATCTGAAACAGTAACTGGTTGAGCCAGTTACTGTTCTCCTATCTTTTCATTTCTCTCCTTTTTTTCTTTTTTTTTTTTTTTTTGGTGGTACGTGGGCCTCTCACTGTTGTGGCCTCTCCTGTTGTGGAGCACAGGCTCCGGATGCGCAGGCTCAGCAGCCATGGCTCACGGGCCTAGCCACTCTGTGGCATGTGGGATCCTTCTGGACTGGGGCACGAACCCGTGTCCCCTGAATCAGCAGGCGGACTCTCAACCACTGTGCCACCAGGGAAGCCCATTCACTTCTCTCCTTTTTGCCTCCTTTCTTTTGGATAGCTTGGCAGTTTTTTCACAATGCAGCCCTATGCATGGTAACTAAGCCAGCAGATCAGTTACTGCCCTGAATAGTCTCTTGGCTTCCCAAGAGCAATGTTTTCATGATGACCTACTCGCATGACTTCATCATTTGTGCCAATGGCATCAAATTATGTGTCTCCCTCTGGTCTTAATAAAGCCAGTCTAGGGTTAATTGTAACTCATACAATTTCTATTATTGCTTTGGAAGGAGTATTCCATTTGTAGTTCAAGGAAGGGGTGAGGCACCTACTCTTCTCAGGGTAAGATTGCCAAATCCTAACCATAATGCACTATAGCAAGTTAGTTGTCATACCGTTCAGAAGTATACAGAATGGACTGTCATATCATCCATCTGCTCACCCTAGATACTCCTTTCCATTCAACAATGTCTAGAATAGTGATATGGCTTCCTGATTGTTAATTCCAAAAATCCATGTCAATAATCATTCCCCAGGCTTCTGCTGCTATTTTCTATAAAGAGCACTAACTCTTAAACAGAATACTCTTAGCATTGAGTAGTCACCTGACCTTGGTCTCCAACTACCTGTACGGTATTTCTACTGATCAACTGAGTTACTTTGTTAGCAAATATATATGGAAGCAGAAGGTTTTCCAGTGATGGGTAAAGATAGTCTCAAGCTTTTTCTCCAACTACTATCTCTTTTTTTTGTTTGTTTTTAAATTGTCCTGCTTTTACCGGGGCTGCTAACAATAGTTAAGTCCTCATCACCATTTTCTACCCTTTTTTTTCTTGCCAAAAGGTGTCTTATATATCTGTGGGTCTGAAAAACAAAATCCCACTGACTAGGCCAATTTGCAATAACAAAAGACTGTTCTGTGAAATCAGACTCATACAAACCAGAGACCTTACCTAGTAAGGTCAAGCTTTACTAATAATTCCAAGGATACAAGCAATCAAAGGGCCAGGTGAAGCAGGGAGAGGGCCAGAACTATGAGTGAAGCCCTCCAGGTGTTTTCTGGTCACACTGAACCTGACGTGAACCAGGTCAACAGGTAAGGTCTCTAAGCAATGCATGTAGCTTACATCACTTACACAGAAAATAGGTACCTCAGGCATAAAACATCTTGATTGATTTCCTATTCAGGTAGTTACATACCTTACATGACATGTTCCAGGAAGCCATGCCCCCAAACCCAAAGATTCCAGGTTTGTTTACCAAAACCAACCACAGCAACCAGATACGTCCTGTTAAAGGCAGTTTAAAGATAAGGACTCCTCCCCACTAGTATATATCATTAGTGATTTTGTTTTGTTTATTTTTGTCATGACATCTGTAATTAATGTTTATAAGGAGATTTATATGAGTTCTTCCTTTTTTTCCAGGGAACTTACCCCAGTTACTGGAAAGAATGGGTTACAGATCTACTACTTGATCTTTTGTTCCCAGTAATTGTGGGATCTTCTAATCAATAACATCTCCTATGTCCTTGAGAATCAAGAACATTTTTCACTGTGGAAGAAAGCACAGATGGAAGACAGAATAATTCCAGTCCTTATATAGCCCTAAATTTGATTTCAAAATATCATGAACTCCTGAGGTTATACATATACACATACATATATATCATTTCCCATTAAAAAAACACCCAAGGCCTTCTTAAAGAAATGGATGTTCTAGGTCTGGGGCAGAAAATGTACAAAATGACACTATATGTTCATAGCAGTACTATTTATAATGGTACCAAACTAGAAACTACCCACAGGCTATGGAAGATAGAATGGACAATTCAACTGTGGTTTACTCCTACAATGGAACACTACACTATAAGGAGAAATGAGCAAACTATTACATCATTCAATAATGTGGATGAATCTCATAAGCATAATGTTGAGCCAAAGAAGCCCGACACAATGGAGCCTATACTCTATGATTCGGCCATATAAAATTCAAGAACAGGAAAAACGAATCTACGGTATTAAGTATCAGAAGAGCTATTACCTCTGGGAGGGCAAGGCAAGTATTGACTAGGGAGATATTAGCAATATTCTATATCTAGATTTGGGTGTTGATTATATAGATACGTTCACTTTTTGAAAATTCACCAAGTTGGACACAAGAATTTGTGCAATTTTTTGTATTTATGTTATACTTCAATAAAAGGTTAATTAAAAACAAAACAAAACATGAAGTAAATCTACATTGACATGGAAAAAAAAAAACTCCAAAACATATTGTTGAGTGAAAAATAGGCAAGTTGCCCATCAATATACAGAGTAAGATACTCTTCATATAACATTTCTATGTAGAAGTACTGTGATTGTTTTATGGCTTTTTAAATATTACATATACACATACCAAAAAAGTGATTAAAAAGATGATCAGCATCACTCTGGTGGGTATCTCTGGGAAACGGAATCATTGGCAGCAGAGGAGCAGATAGAAAACACATCAAATCTTTTCTGTAACCATGAAAATTTAACATTACATGGCAAGAATGTTTTCATGTAATACTCATACAATTAAAAATAAATATTTCTAAAAGGCAGGATTGTTCTTAAATCCAATGTGGAAACACTTCTTTAAATAAGTCTAAAAACCAGAAACCTCTTTAAGCACTAAGCCATTAATGTGAAAATTTCACGAGTTCACTCACGCCTGCAAGACACCAAGGTTGTCTAACACAATTATTCGAAATTTGTTTTTTATACGTCCATATAGAATGAACCCTTTTATAAGACCATTCCATAATCTCACGGGCCACAAAACTTTGCTGACCCGCTCTGTGAATGGAAAGGTCCTATTGTCCCATTTTTTGTTTAAAACTTTTTCTGAAAATTTTAAAGTGTGTGTGTGTAAGCTTGGAAACCTATATTGCATCATTTATGTTTGTGTCTTTAGAAGGAATGTGCCACTCAACAAATCTTTCTTTAATAGTGTTCTTGAGAATAACTTTCATCTTTGCACACCGATAGGCAATCAATAGAAACTATGTGCTGTAAATGTTCAAATCGGATCTATACTTTTGTCATTGGGATGTCAAGGACAAATTATCTCAGTTTTATATTTTACCCAAAAGTTTAATACAGTTAATCACCATCTCCAACCTTTACAGAGAGGCGCACACACATCCACACACACAAATGAAAAGACAAGCAATATCAGCCACGTACTATAATAAAGGTGGCAGTAAGGTCATATTCTATTGCTCTGTCTTTCTAACGGGGCAAGATCTCTCAGGGTTCTAATACATTCCATTTTCTAGTAGTAAAAGGGACAGAATATGTACTGTCCAGTGAGGTGTCACATGAACTTCATTACAGAACTATGCAATCTGAGAAAATCCAAAAGAGAGTGAGCGACAAAGAAAGTGAGAGAGCATATTCTGTATACATTCATATAGAAACTCATATGACAAATATATCCGTAGTGAGAACTTCAATCATAAGAGTTATTGAGGAACATTTTCTCAGAAATGAGAACACAACACCACCTCAATGTTTTTCTTTTTAACAGCTAAGGAGATCAACTGCATGCTCTCTAAATAAGGCTTTCCACTAAAGATAACACCTCAACTTCCACAAGAAGAGAGTAGCTTTGTGTTTACCAGGAAGAAATATTATGGAATCTTCCTTTTAATGCTGTTTAAAATGTGAAATTATCTGTGAAACCTTCCACAGCTTTGGACCTTGTTATTTTAGAGATCAGCAAGGTGAACACTCTCAAATGAGGTACATGTTTTAGGCTTTGAGAACCCTGAGGCTCCAGGGCATTTACTGTAATAGGTTCATGAAATAAATGAATTGGGCTCAAATCCCACGGTTTCTTGAAAATGAATGTAATTATAAAAATTCAAAGCAACAAATTAAATGTGTTCGTATGTAATATCCATTTTTGAATCAGATTACCACCTTGCCTGTTGTGTCTATGCTAACTGATCAAACGACATTTTCTCAAACGTGAATTTCTCATCATCCTCAACAAAAACCCACTACGCGGCTTATTTCTGATACCACAAACAAAGACAATCCTTCTATTTCAGCATTATTCAAAGTATGTTAAAAAAAAATACAAGGAAAATATCATGTGTTGTACCAAATACAGATTTTAAAAAGCTTCAAAAAAAAATCAAACTACATTTTCTGTTTCCTATGAATATGAATTCCATATCTTATAAAAAGAACTTAAATTGAAGGACCACAATATAATACCAGTTTTAGAGGTAGTTATATATACTAAAAAAAGAAAAGAGTCTCACTATTAATCACTTTGGTTAATAATCAAAAGCCCATTTTAAAACTTCCCCTTACTCAATTTCTTCAGCTTGTGACTCCACATTTTTATATTCTAAGTCATTCTTCCTTTTTACTTGTAATTGCTTATTAGTGAACTCAGATTATCTGTGTGGTAACAGACAGCTCCCTTGGAATTCTGGTTACATACCTAGAGCTGCTACTTTGATGATGATTGCTTGAACGTTAGATGATATCATCTCTCGGAGCAAATCTTCCTGGTTTCTTTGCCAAAGGTAAGCTAAAGGCTGGAGATTAAGCCTTTTACACCTATAACATAATTTTTAAAAAATCAGATGATATCTTAATGTTCTATACTTGGATCCATAGCAATTACTTTGATTTTAAACATACTGTTTCTCTCAAGGATTTTAGCATATAAAATACTTTTAAAAACACGTTTTGCATAATGAAGTTTATATATACAACATAAATATATTTAATTTCCATGGGCTATGCATAAACAGATAAAAATGAAATCTCCAGGCAGAGAAGAAATATTAATTTTAGTAAGACTCTAAGTTTAGAAATCTATGCAAAAAAGCTTCCAAATGCTAATGGATGTTTATTCTTGTTTTAGAACTTTCTTGGGTATCAAAATTGTGACGCACAGGAAAATACATTTATCCTAATAAAATAATTATATATTGATTACATTTATAATACCTATGGTTATATGAATTATTCTTATCTAATAACTCTGAAATTTTTTTTAAGAATTTGACTCTGAGAGGAGGAGGGATAAATTAGAAGTATGGGAGTTAACAGATAAAAATTACTATACATAAAATAGATAAACAAGGGTTTACTGTATAGTACAGGGAACTATATTCAATATCTTGTAATAACCTATAATGGAAAAGGATCTGAAAAAAATATATACCTGAATCACTTTGCTGTACACCTGAAACTAACATACTATTGTAAATCAACTATACTTCAATAAAAAAAGAGAAGGTAAAATAAAGATATGTTAATACAAACAAAAAGAATTAAGAAAAAGCATAATCATAATGACAGCAAAAAAAAAAGAATTCGACTGAGTGAAAAGAAAATAGTAAGAACAAAAAGTACATTCATTGAATACCTACTATGCTGCAGGTATTGTACTACATATTTTACATTATGTTGCTGTAGAAACAATGCAGATTTTGGATTCCAGACAAATCTGAGTTTGAAACCTTCTTCTACACTCACTAGCTGCATGACTTTGACAAGTCAGAGCTAAGCTCCAGGCTTTTAGTTTCCCAGTTCATACATACGGACAAAAATATTTCCTTCCAAAGTTCTTGAGAAGATTAAAATATTAGAAAGTGAAGTCATTCATTATTCCTCTTTTCTTCACATTCCACATCCAATCTACCACAATGCAGAATATGACCACTCCTCACCAATACCACTGCTAACATGCTGGTCTGAGCCACCAGTATCTCTCCTAACTTCTTCCCATTTCCATTCTTGCCCTTTTAAAATCAGTTTTCAATATAGTAGCCAGTGTGACCCTTTTAAAACATAAACGGATCATGGGATTTCTCTGCTCAGAACTCTCCCCATTACTCCTAGTAAATTAGACCTACATGGATCTCACCCTGGTTGGCTCTCATACCTCATCTCCCACTTCTCTCCTCTCACTCCAACCTGCCACCCCTGGCCTGCTCACGCTTGCCTAACACACTTGCCATGTTCCCTACCTTCCTCCCTTGCTTTATGCCTTTGCTTAAATGTCACTTTCTCAGGGAGGACCCATTGATTAAAATTAATGTAGATAAATTGATTAATCGATTAAAAGTAATGTAGATAAAAAATGTAGTACAATACCTGGATAAAATAGGTCTTCAGTAAATGGTAGTCAGAGCCAAGTGCCTTGCTCAAGTCACAGAGTAAGTGGCTGAGATCAGATTTCAAATTAAAAAAACATATCTCTAAACCCCATCATCCCTAGTGTCAGTAAGGTTTCCTGGCTGACTACTCCAGCACACACTGAACTCTTTCTCAGATAATCCCACTACCTATTAAATGTACCACACGTTTAGTCATTTACTCATATATGGTCTTAGAAATATCACTCTTTTTTTCATGCACATATACCCTGACCTTCAAAGAAATCAAAATCTTCCTGAATGTAGAGACTTTTATCAGTATATAATTTACCTTTGTAAAATGTCCTGAGCACCTAAAGCAATGTGGAGGCAGTTAATAAATACAAAAATAATAAAACTGTAACTCTCCATGTAACACAAGCATTAGATTTTGCTGTCCTATCACCAATCTTTAATGCCTACTAATCAAACTTCTCTCCACCTTTTTCAGCTAAAAGGTTTTTTTTTGTTTGTTTTGAAAAAAAATTTTATTCCTTCCAGGCCTTATTGCAAAATTCTTGATTGTTTCTTCGGTATCCCTGATCTTTTGGCTGTTTTTAGACTTAAGTCATACTTCTTTACCTATTTAAATTCTTTTAACAGTTTAAAATATCATGGCTGGGGCTTCCCTGGTGGCGCAGTGGTTGAGAGTCCACCTGCCGATGCAGGGGACACAGGTTTGTGCCCCGGTCCGGGAAGATCCCACATGCCGTGGAGCGGCTGGGCCCGTGAGCCATGGCCGCTGAGCCTGCGCGTCCGGAGCCTGTGCTCTGCAATGGGAGAGGCCACAACAGTGAGAGGCCTGCGTACCGCAAAAAAAAAAAAAAAAAATCATGGCTGAAATAAGCTTCCTCTGTAAATCACTATTGTATTTGAGCTTGTGACATCTATTAAGTGCTTCATACCTTGAAAATATAATGATGCAACACTAACTACAAATTGAAGATCAGCTAATTCAAAACTGAGTTTGTAGACCAACAGACTCCCAATAACACTGCTTTACAATTTTCAAGGATTATTACAGATGTGCTTTATGGTATATAATCTGGGCATCTTAAACCATGTGTTGAAGTGCACCTGAGACTGCATTTTGAGAAATAGCTTGAGTAATCAATGGGCCCTTCTCCCATTTAGATATTGCTATAAGGCAGCTTCACCTCAGGAGCACATTTTCATTCAGCTCCTTAAAGCTTTCATAAATAGATGTCAGCCCTATCTGCAGCTTGGCTACCCAGTGAACCATGTAGGTTTGAACTTATTCAAAAATAAAGATTTTTAAACAAAATAATTCTCAGAGAACATGACTTAAAACTTGATGAGAATAATATTATTTTTAACATATGGCTAAGGGATATGCAATCCATTTCCATCTATAAATCAGCTGTTCTCAAATGTAGGCAGACAGAATGTAAGGAAAACTTTTTCCAAATACACGTTTGACCTCCTCCCCCACTTCCACCTCCACTCTCCATTCTCCAGAGATCCTGATAGTCCCCCAAATATGAGATCATCATACTTCTTTTTGTTTATTTATTCTTTGCCCTGCTTTCCCTTCACTTACTTTTAAAATTCTATATATTTAACTGCCTTAAATTCATTGTGGAATTAGAGAGAAAATAAATAAAATAAAAAATAAAACAAGTTTTCAAGTCTATTAATATGCAAGTTTTTAATGAGATAGTCAATATGAATGTTTCTTTGTCAAGAACATGAAACTATTACATAAATACAGCCCTTATCTTATTCTCATTTACCCTTTTAAATGGCAAAATCATTTATTTCTACGTCGAACTGTGCTCAAGATTAATAGTGAAGTCCTTATTTTCTGTTTTGCTAATATAATGACATGTAAAGTCTCTACACAATACTTTATTTATCCGAATAAATTAAAAATGAAAATTAAATTCATTTGTGGGTGTTTTGCCAAGCCAACGTTTAATAATCATTATTATTATTTTTAAAGATGTTGGGGGTAGGAGTTTATTAATTAATTTATTTTTGCTGTGTTGGGTCTTCGTTTCTGTGCGAGGGCTTTCTCTAGCTGTGGCAAGAGGAGGCCACTCTTCATCACGGTGCGCGGGCCTCTCACTATCGCGGCCTCTCTTGTTGCGGAGCACAGGCTCCAGACGCGCAGGCTCAGTAGTTGTGGCTCACGGGCCTAGCTGCTCCGGGGCATGTGGGATCCTCCCAGACGGGGGCTCGAACCCGTGTCCCCTGCATTAGCAGGCAGATTCTCAAACACTGTGCCACCAGGGGAGCCCTTATAATCATTATTTTCATCTGACCTTATGTTTTTTGAGTAGATCAAAGGAGTTGACTATTTCGGTACCTGTACAGACAATGTTTTACTAGTACTACATTGCTTGGGAGGTGGGGGAGATGGGAGGAGCAACAATCTAAAAATTCCTTTAAAGTTGAATGGCTTTTTATAGAAGTATTTCAACCTCATGAATATTTTTAGTCAAGAACTGAATTCTAAGGACCAAAGAAGAGATTTCTTAATACATTTTTTAAAAAATATTACTGCACTTTTATTACAAATGATGATAAGATATTAAAAGGGTGTACTAATTCAAATAAGGAAAAATTGAAAATAATACTTTGACTTCAAAAAAATCTGTTTCAATTTTTTATTATAAATAATTTATTTTTCCTTATGGTAAGTAAGTAAGTTTTCTCATGTGTTGATACAAGGATAGAAAAAAAGTGAAAGTGCAACTTTTGTTACTTAGGGCAATACATTTAGTTTCATGGGGCATGTAGAATACCGTATCTATTTATTATTTGGATACAATTATCTATTTATTTATTATTGGGGTATAGTTGTTTTACAATGTTGTATTAGTTTCTACTGTACAGCAAAATGGAGTTCCCTGGGCTATAAAGCAGGTTCTCATTATTTATCTATTTTATACATATTAGTGTATATATATGTCAATCCCATATTGATTTTTTATTTATTCACATTCTTAAAATACATAAACTTTAAAAATATAGGACAAATTAACATTTTCTTACACATTTTCTACTCGAACATGCTGATAGTCAGAGAGTATAGCACCTACTGATATTCCCTCTACTTCTTCTTTTTCCTGAAAATAAAGAAAAAAATATGATTAAAAAATAAATAACATGTGGCTCTGTATCATTTTTTAAAAATTATAAATGAAACGTGTTTCATTTAGAAGACCACCTTGAAACAGAATAACTTACTGGAAATGCAATCCACATTCAGAGATAAAGAAAGTATATTAAAAATATATATATTTAAGTCACCCTCTCAGCTCTGGGGGGAAATAATTATTCTTTTTACCTAAAATCCAAATAACTGGAGACCATTTTCCATGGAGAAGATAAAGGAAGCACTTCCAAAATGTTTTCTCACTTGATATATTTTTAAAGATTCACTGATGTTTGATAGAAATTTCCAAGAAATTTCTATTTAAGGACAATGTATTCCCAGGTTGAGTAACTTTTTTTAAAAAAATTAAGCAACGGTATAAGTAGACAAAGGAATACAATGATTTTAATCCGTATCTTAAAATGATTGACATAGGAGCATCCAGGAAGCAGAGATGATAGAGGCATTGCCTGTATAACAGTACAGAATAGTGGATAAAGAAATCTAGGATGAGAAGGAAGCAATGAATTATTATCAGTAGAGCTGAGAACATCTAGCAGTATATCCAGCAGAGTCCCCCAGGGATGAGGACTAGTCTACCCAACATAGCCATTAATGACATGGAGGAGAATGAAAATTCAAATATGATCAAGTCTACAGATGATACAAAGCTAGGATGGATTAAAAAGAAAAGAAAATCAATCAAGTACCTGGATGGATATGGACAACCTGGGGATTTGAAAGGACAGGTCTAAGATGAGATTTAATGCAAAGAAGAATAAAACAATACCCTTAAGGAAGAATCACACACAACACAGGTATAAACTAGGGAAATGTTATCTAGAAAACAGATATGAAGAAAGTGACTGGGGGGTGATTACTAATAACAAACTGAATAGAAATTCTCTGAATAGGCATAAAAGAAAAGTCATCCTAGCTTATGGAGTACAGAAGAAAACTACTTCAGAGAGATGACTTCATTATTAACACTGGTCTTTCCAAACTTGGAAACCTACAAAAAAGAACAATAGTGTTTCACATAAAAATAAATGTAATACTTGGAGACATTCTAAAATAACCCCGAAATGTCCTAAAATGATGCCATAATAAATAAACAAAAATGCACAACAGGAATCTCTCATGTCTTTGAAGATAAAGCCAATTTAAAATTTCCCCTCTAAAATGACAGAGAAACATCTTCCCAAACCTCCCCAAAATAAAATGATTCTTTCTATTAGATAAGGATTCCAGGAAAAGAGCTATTTCCTTTGCCTTCCTATTTCAGCAACTTTGTGAGAACATTTGCTTGTAACCTTTCTCTAACCTTCCTAGCCATTTTCTTTTCATAAAAGTCATTGTATTACTAGAAAAAAGCATGGCATAGTGATCCTCATTAAATGCAAATATGGCATAGGATCATAGAGTAGTGAATAATGTTATCAAAAATCAAAATTTTAGTTATATTCTTTTTACCATATATTGTTTAACTGCCAAAAGAAAATATAAGGTACTGAATAGTATGTGTGTGTGTGTGTGTGTGTGTGTGTGTGTGTGTTTCTCTATAGATCATGAAAACAAACACAAGTCATTGGTGTTTTTCTTTCTAAACTAAGTCAAGCCACTGTTAAAATAATAATTGGCATTTACTCTCCACTTAAAATGTGTTAATGTTCTATAATTCTCATTTAATGTTCACTACAACCCTAAAATAATTATTTAATTCTTCTTAGTCTACATGCATTGTGAACACTGAGTAATATAATACAGATAAGTAACAGTGACTAGCATCTAGTGAGCACTCAGTAAATATTTTCTTCTGTCATTATCATAATCTTTGTTATCAATAATACTTCTTTTATAACTACTTCTGTTACTACTTCTACTATTACTACTACTGACCACCACCACCACTACAACTAGATAAAGGCCTAACTTGACCAACAAAGCCCTTCATTCCTGGGCTTTATCTCTTGCTCATTATCACTTTTTAACTAGCTTACTAACCCATGATAGTTAATTTTATGTATCAACTTGACTAGGCTAAGGGGTACCCATTGCTGGTAAAACATTATTTCTCTGAGGAAGTTTCTGGAAGAGATTACGATTTGAATTCGTAGACTGGGTAAAAAAGATTGCCCTAACCAACGCAGGTGAGCATCATCCAACCTGTTGAGGACCTGAATAGAACAAAAAGATAGAGGAGGGGCACATTTACTCTCTGCTTGAGCTGGGACATCCATTTTCTTCTGTCCTCAGACAACAGTGTTCCTGGTTCTTGGGCCTTTGGACTCAGAGTGGAATTTACAACACTGGCCCCCTTATTCTCAGGCTTTTGGGTTTAGACTGGAACTATATACTACCAGCTTTTTAGGTGTCCAGCCTGCAAATGGAGAGCATGGGACTTCTTAGCTTCCATAATCAGATAAGTTAATCCCTCAAAATAAATCTCTTTCTATATATCTTTATATATCCTGTTGGTCCTGTTTCTCTGGAGAACTCTGACTAATACATAACCCTTGACAACCAACTCTACAGTCCAGTCACAAATGTTTCCAACCTAGTGAGCCCTGAATAATCCAAGGATAAGTAAGACTTCTGTTGAATCCTTAATCATTCAGAACATACTACTAATTTTGAAGTGAGACCTATAAAAGATAAAAATCTATCACACAGTCAATCTACTCTGCAGAAAATACAAAGCTAAGCTCAGGTCCCACCTGAGCTACCAGACTACCAGAATAAAAGGTGTTATACCGAGGCAGCATAAAGACATAGCCAAATAAATCACCCTGTGACATAACTGAAATAAAAATAAATGTGCTGCAGGGACTTCCTTGGTGGTCCAGTGGGTAAGACTCCACGCTCCCAAGCAGGGGGCCCAGGTTCAATCCTTAGTTAGGGAACTAGATCCCACAGGCATGCCACAGTGAAGATCCCGTGTGCCACAACTAAGACCCTGTGCAGCCAAAACAAATAAATATTTTAAAACAAACAAACAAATAAATAAATGTGCTGCAGAAAACAGTTAATATAGAATCTGAGACCCAGAAATTTGACCAGATTCGAACCAACTTCCCATGATCAATCCCATGCCCACTAAGCAACCTTAGGTTGCCTTGTTACTGTCAAACCCAGAAAGATTATGCTAATCCATAAAAACAAGCATTCTCATCCACTCAACAAAAATGGTCTACATTATAAATCAACAAACTGGCATTCAAGCCTATACATTAGTCTTAAATGAATTTGGTCTGTATTTGTCTATACTAAAGAGACTGATAACTTCTTGGTACATTGTCAAAATCAAGTCTCTAGTCTGGAGAGCTATACCACAGTACTCACCAAAGTAATATTTCCAAGCTTAACCAGCCATGTAACCTCTTCTAACAATAATGCTAATTGTCATGTCATCATTCTTTAATGGTTCACCTAATATTAAAACATGTAACCAAAAATGTTTTATATGTCCATACTATGTACCAGTTTAATAAATAAGATTAGCTCTACTGTTGGGAGATTAAGGCACCAAAACTAAGTAATAAAGAAAGTGATATGAAAGCAAAAAGTTGGGGAAGGTTTCACAGAAGTAGACTTCAGGGCCTACTCATCAAGGATATATTTGATTTTGTTGAGAAAGGAAAGAAAGGTAGTAGGGAACAATTCAGACAGAGTGAAGAATATGAACCAAGGCAACAAAATAAAGTGTTTGGCATATTAGGAGGCGGTCAGCAGTGTGGGGTAGCTGGAGCTGAAAGCACACATCAAGAAGTGGAAGGAAAAAGGATGGAAAAGCAAATTGGGATCAGATTGGTCAGAAATGTGGCTTGCATCCTGAAGGTAACAGAGAACCCTTCCCTGTAGAAAATTTTTTCTGACCAACTCCTGCGGTACAATTCACATACAATAAACTGCATCTATTTAAAGTGCACAATTCAGTGAGTTCTGACAAACCCACACCCCAGTGAAACTGCCACCACAATCAAGATTACTAATTACTCCCAAAAGATACCTTGTGCCTCTTTGCAGCCCAGCCCTTCCCCTTTACTCCTGGCTTTATACAATTACTGATCTGTTTTATGTCAGTATACATTAGTTTACATTTTCTGTAATGTTATATAAATAGCGTCCTACAATACGTATTCTTTGTTTCTAGCTTCTTTCACTCAGTGTGATTTTGAGGTTCATCCATGTTGTATGTGTACCCATAGTTCATTCCTTCGATTCCATTTTAATCCATTGTATGGATATGCCACGTTTGTTTATCCATTCACTTGTTGACAGATATTTGAGTTTAAGGTTCTTATGAATAAAGCTATGAATGTTACTTTATGGCTTTGTGTTAATATATGTTTTCACTTTTCTTGAGTCACTAAAGAATTTAACAAGTGAGATATGATATTTATAAATAAAAAGATAAACGTGGCGACAGTGTGAAGGATTGACTAGAGAGTAGAGAAACAGAAGAAGGAGCCTAATCTGAAAGAACTGAAGAATGGAGATAAGAGGACAAACTCCAAAAATGATTTAGAGACAAAATTAGTAGGACTTGTGAACAGTGACAAGAAGCACACATGAAGCATGGGGCCAATGACTGTAATTTAAGTGACTATTAACTGAGAAAGGAAATATAGGTCTTAAAAGAAAATACTGAGTTTATTTAGCAACGTACGTGTTGTGTTCAATTTGTTCGCTAGGTATCCAAAGTAGATAAGACCATTAGGTATATTGAGTACAGTCATCCCTCCATATCCATGGGTTCTGCATACATGGATTCAACCAACAGTGGATCAAAAATATTTTTTAAAAAATTTTCTAGAAAGTTTCAAAAAGCAAAACTTGAATTTGTCACACACTGGCAACTATTTATAGAGCATTTACATTGTATTAGGTATTATAAGTAATCTAGAAAGGATTTAAAGTATGGTAGAATGTGCATAGGTTATACGCAAGTACTGTGCCATTTTATATAAG